TTTTTTTTTTTTTTTTGAAAAAATAAATAAAAATCTTTCTTAATAAATGGAGACTATGGACTAAAATGCTCTTAAAAAATAGGTCATGCAGTTACTTGCATAAAAACTGAAAGTTTGGAAATCTAAAAGTCGATAAAATTTTATTAGGGACCCAAGTGCTTCAATGAGTACACTTTGGGGACCGAAGTGCAAATCTTTCTGAATCGGAAATTGTGGACTTAATTAGTGGTAAAACCTGAGATTAAAAGTAATTTGGTTGTGACTAATTAACACAAAATTCCACAACCCAATTAAATATTAATTAAAAGTGATTGAAAGACGTGGAATTTCGATGGATGATGGGAATGTGGATGGCTCCAATTATTGTACAAATGAGACATTTGGTAATCATCGATCCAAATAAATAAAGGATAGGAGATACCCTTCGGGGATGGTCGAGTTGGTGGAGTAGATGAACGCGGAAATCAAATGTCACGAATTCGAATCCTCTGTCAACACTTCATCGGTCGAACCCGTTACACCGAGTTTGTCTAATGCGGTTTACATTTCATGTGTGGTTTGTGGGCTACTGCACATGAAATGAGGTTTACCTAATACACACTCACAGTGGTCAGGCCTCCGCTGACTGGTATCGGTTACGAGTTCCTACGTCAACAAAAATTATAAAGGATAGGAGACTCAAAAAAGGTTCTTACTTTTTTATTTTTCTAAAAAAAAAAAAAAAAAAATTTAAGAAAACTTTTTATCAAAATATTTCAAAATCTTGGTTAGAATTGCACTCGATTGCCTTGTGCAGCCTTACAAGAAAAAATTAATTGCTGTATTTAATGCAAATACCTACTGAAAACTTACAAGTAACTGGACTTTGAATTAATATAAATAACTTTTATTCAATTAAATAATGGCAAAATTAGGGTTGAACTTCTCAAGCTTTCACGTCATAACCTTCAAAAATGATGATCCAAACCCCAACTTAATTAAATATATGAATTTGAATCTCCACGTGAACTTAACCATCAGTGTCGATATTAAAATCGCATGTGACTTTCACGTGACTCAAACAAAATTGGCTAATCATTTAACATTTCTCTCAAATTCAACTTAAAATCTTACGAAATTTTTAAGCTCTATATTGCTAATTTTACTTGAAAAGCCATGAGTACGGGAAATTCTTGACAGAATTCCTATCGATGCTGAAGTGGTCGCAGATGATTGGATTTTTTTTCCCTTTTCATCTTTCAATCAATTCCCGTCATGTGTTGTCTGTTAAACGTTTTTGTCAAAATTTTCTTTATTTGTAACGTGATTGATTTTAGTTACACTGATGATGTGTTTGATAGATATTATTGATGAAATAATATATTTTAAATAATGATATGATGATAAATATGTGATTATTGATAGGATGAAAAATATTATTTTATTGAAAAATGTGTGGTTGAAAATGAATTTTAAAATATGTATTTATAGAAAATGTGTGTCAAAACATGGCTGAATCTAAATTCATATAGTTATATAGATTGGGATGAACCACCTCGCCATTGAAGACTCTACGACCACAACATATCGGAGGTTGAAAAGTCCAACGCTGGACAGCTATAGATGATTGTCTCTTCATATACTAGGAAGGTTACGATAACGTCATCAAAATTCACATGCATGCACCTAAGAGTACGAACTCAAATTCCCTCGTTTAACGACACGTTCTTGCGTATCGATGCTTCAACAGTGAGCTAATAGCAGCACGTAAGTCATGCAAAAAGCCTCGCACTTTGGGAACACTTCACCGCCTAGAGATGTCAATGGGCCGAGTCGGCTCGTGGTTCATCAATTTTTTTTTTTAGCTTTTCTTAGCCCTTTTTTTTAGAGCGTGTTTGGGGAGCAATTTTTGTGAGATTTTAATCAAAATTATAGCTGTTATAGTCAATCTGTGGGCCCCACCTGTGAGAGGAAAAGTCAAAAATGGTGACTGATTTGATAGTTAACGGCTAGAATTTTGATTAAAATCTTAAGTAAAATTTCTCCCAAACAGGGCCTTAGTGTTTTTTCACGAGCCGACCCGGGCTCGGCTCACCTAGCGAGCCCGCCGCTCGGCTCGTCTTTTGACAAGCCCTCGTGGCTCGTGGCTAGGTGGCAACGAGCCAGCTCACGAAATAAGGAAAATTTATTGATGTGATAGAAAATATTATTTTATTGAAGAATATGTGGTTGAAAATTAGTAAAATGATGAGAATGAAAAAAATAATGTGACTCAAACAATGACTAACGACCTGAAATTCCATTTTAAAATATCAAACTTATTAAGAGAAACAGTTCAAACTCTTATAAATTGATTTATATTTTCATCTTTATTCGATGCAAAATTTTATCCCTTAACATTCCATCTCGATGTAAAATTTTATCCCTTAACATGTCATCTCAAGATGGTGGCTCGTTTGAGCTTAGGCGGCGCATTTTGGTGCCTTTTAGAACACTGCTTTTAGGCATGCTTTCTAGTTTCAAGCCTTTTTTGTCCATTGCAGTGCAGAATGTTGGTTTGGGTTATAAACATTTTCTACTATTGGGCCATCTCTCAAAACACAATGCAATTCCCAGCGAGAAACTTAAAAGTGGTGCATAATATTTTTGAAATAATAATTAAAAATAAACGGGAGGTTAATCAGGGACTTGGGGTTACCCATCCCGCCTCAAGCAGGGATGTGACAGGAAAATCCTCGACAGGGTGGGAATGGGGAATGAGGTTTCCGTCCTGTTAAGAATTGGGATTCTATCTTAAAAGGTCAACATTATTAAAAAGAATAGCTCGCTCTTATAAATTAATCTATATTTTTATTTTTATTCTACGTGTGATTTTATCCCATAACACTTCACATATTCAACCTGCAGGTTTCTCTCTAGATTTTCAATACAAGATGAACACTCAAGTTGAGGATAAGTTTGCAATCTTTTTTGAGAAATGGATGTGTCAACTTGAATAGTTCTTCAAATCCTTCGTTTAGTATCCAAAAAGCCTAATAATGAAGCCGAAGATCATGGGGATTTAGTGAAAAAGTCACAGCACATTATAAAGATTACTACACTGCAGAATGGGATGCAGCAAGTAAAGATTTTTTAGCATTTTTCGCCCCAGTTTGGCTGAGTCCACTCGAGAATGCCTATAATTGGATCACTGGTTGGAAGCCTTCAATGGCTTTTCAAGTCATTGACTCGCTCACAAAAACTCACACACCTGGTGCAAGTCTAGCAGGTATGACTGATGAATAGATGAAAAAAAAATGAAGCTTTGAGTGAGAAGATCAAAGAGGACGAGAACGTGGTGAGGAGAGAAATGGAGCGGCAGCAGATGACAGTGGCAGACAGGAGAATGGTAGAGTTAGCCATGCTAGAGAGCCGAGTTAGTAACAGTGGTGACTTAGCAATGACTCAGGATAATGAGTTAGTGGAATCGGCATTGACAGGCTTACTTTCTGGTTTAGAAGTAGTGAAAATGGCTGATTGTGCAAGGTTGAAGACGCTCAATGGTGTGTTGGATGTACTGACTCCAATACAAAGAGTGAAATTCTTGACTGTTATTTCAATGCTTCAGATTCTTATGAGAAAATGAGAGAATATAAAGACCTGCAATATCAATGAAGATTTTGTAGAACAAAAATTTTCATTATAATAATATATGGTTGGGGGGTGGGGGGTTATGTTTTTAGCTTCCAATAAGTATAATAAGGACATGTTTGGCATACTTTTAAAATTACTTCTAAAAATAAAAAGTTAATTGTGTTTGTATCATTTTTTGTTTGACGAGAAATTTTTAGAAGAAGTTGTGCTAAAAGAACTTTCTCATAATCTCTTATATAAGAAGCAAAAATCCTGTATGCTTATATATTACCTTGACAATGACATATTCAAATAATAAAAAGTTGGCTGATCTTTCCAATTTTTTTTTTTTTTCCCTAACAGAAATATAGAAATTGCACGAGTTACAAAATTTGGCAATTCCTCCTGCCAAGGCACTCAAAGCGTTCTGCTGCTTCTGATGAAATCAGTAAAATTCAATGGCATTTACAGCACCCAAAGAAGAAAAGGAAAGGAAACTAACAAAGACCGGCATTTGCCACATGATACAACTCAAAGTCCAACATTGTTTTTCACATCCCAATTCGCAATCACAGAAATACATTATTGGTATTTGATCGTAGCACACTTGGTTTTGAGGTGACAAAAAAATGTAAAAGAATGAAATAATATATGAAAGAAAAGAAAATCGTTCGTTGTTAAATGAAGTTTTGGGCATTTTGTCGGATGGTAAAGTATTCCGTTGAAAGTAAAATGAAGTTTTGGGCATTTTGTTGGATGGTAGAGTATTCAGTTGAAAGTAAAATGATGATGTTAAATGAAGTTTTGGGCATTTTGTTGGATGGTAGAGTATTCAGTTGAAAGCAAAATGATGATATATATACTTAATGTACGTACATTGTAGAGAAGGTGACGAATTAAGCTGCCTCTGCTGATAAGATCTCAAGTTCAGCCCACCAGAGGGGAGAAAGTCTTGGAGTCGCAGCTTCCGGTGATATATCGATGACTTCCCTCAATTTTTGAATGATTTCATTGATCGAAGGTCTCTGTCGAGCATATTGTTGAATGCAACCTCGAATTACCTCACAGATAATATCTAGCTCGTTATTTTTGAAGGATTTCAAAGTTGGATCGATCAAGGAGTCGACGCTGCTCACATCATTCAAGTATTCAGCTGCCTGGTACAAGTCGAAAAATAACCTTGGTTATATAACAAAATATACCTAATCCATATACGAGAAAATCAATAGAACACTCCATTGACGTATTACCCAATTTAAGCTAGGTCCGTGTTCTTTCGAAGAGAGTAGCTTTCCAGAAATTATTTCGAGCAACAAGATTCCGAAGCTGTAAATATTTGTATCAAGATCAGCTAGTGGTGGAAGTTCAGAATTCTCTGAATCAGTTTCTCCCAAGCTCTTCGACTTGGCCACGAGTTCTGCCCAGAAACCAACCTCTCCAATCTGTGAAAGAGTACCGATTTTCTCATTAAAACAAAATAAACCTTTATGTATAATATGCATGTAGATACAAATGTTAAGAATATTGCATCAACATTCATGAAGTGACATCTCATACTTTAGCAGCATAATCATCTGTCAAAAATATATCTTTAGAAGTCAAGTTGGAATGTGCCACCGGTGGATTCAGATAATGCATGTATTGAAGGCAGTAAGATGTCCCCATTATGATCCTCATCCTTGCGTTCCAGTCGAGATGCTCAACTTCATCAACTGAAAACCAAAATGAAACATTTTATCTAGTAGAAAAGCAACAAATTCTCATAAATAAATGACTGGCATGAGAATTCGCATAACCAACAAAATTACCATGCAGGTGCTCGAAAAGAGAGCCATTTGGAGCATACTCAAAAACCATCATCCTAATAAAAGGTACATCCTCCTCGCAGTATCCAATAAGATTAACATAATTCTTGTGGTTCACTCTGGACAAAGTGTCAATCTATTGAAGTGACAAAAGGAAAATCAGTAAGTGATCTATGATTAACCTTCCAGTCCAAACATTATTGACTAACCTTCTTCCGATAAGCCAATTCCGAACGTTTTGACCAGTCCTTTAAAGAAGTTATAGTGGTTGAGAAAACAGCAATTTCTACTCCACTGGATAAAGTACCCTTGAATACAGTGGCCACATCATCATATGTAGTAATGATATTGCTGAAATCCTCGCATGCTGTTTCTAGCTCAGTTCGGTTCAATTTAGGGACCCCTGCAAATTAAAGCATGTAGTTTTGAGACCATATTTTCCATACAGTCAGATGTATATATTTCTAATAATTAAAAAGAAACCAGGCAGTAGTTGCATAGTTACTTACATGATCTAGGATAATTTGAGAAATCATTTAACATTTTAAGTATACCAGTAGCAACTATTGAGTGCTTCATACAGATTCCAACATCATGAACATGCTTTGGGGCATCATTCAGCCAAAGACTACTGAAGCCACTATAACAAGATGTATGCAAAAATATTTTGGACCAATCTTCGAAAATGATGTTAAAAAAATTTAGCAGTGAGGAAATAATCAGGTAATGTTTTGAATAGTTCTAAAAAGAAGTAACATTTGGCACCTCTGGTGATATTCAATTCAAGAAAGAATTTAGAAAAGAGAAAAGTACAAATTCTATTTGCGGAGACAACATGACTTTGAGATTCTTTTCATTGTAATAAGTTTCTCTAGGAGTTGATTCCCATGACCCCTTTTCCTTTTGCATTTGTTGTATTTGTGCTTTCCCATGCAAAAATGATTTGTTATTGGGCTTATGGGTATATGTTTGATAGGTTCTATATTCATATTTGATTACAAATACAAAATTAATGGGCATCAAAATAAAAATTTCAGCAGGTGAAACATGCTTGAAATATTTTCAATGTACTTAAGTCTAATTGGACTTGACAAATCAAAAGAACATGATCATAATCAAATTGTCCTAGTTAAGGTGACAATTATGATAGGAGCCTTAAATTTCTAGATCCATGTTGAAAATATACCTGTAATAAGTGCTTTCTGCAACTGCCCACTCAATCCAGTCTTCCAAGGAGTTATTGTTCTTGCTGCTCTGCTTCTGCAGATGATAAACATGGCTGCAGCAACAAAGAACAAGAAAATTCCACTAGAAATCCCAACTATATACTTCCAAGAAGCTCCAGATTTTCTACCAGTCGAAGACTGCTTATCAGTTGGTTGATTAACAGCACCAGAGGAATTTCCAGCAGGATAAGTCATGTTATTAGACTCCTGTTGTGGAGGTGAAGCAGGCAAAGATGCCAGAGGAGGATTTAGTTCCTTCCTATTTGGTACGGCAGGAAACGATCCACTACCTCTGGTGCTTGGAAGGGCATACACCTGATCTGATGGTGGCCTGACATTGGCATAAAAAGCAGCAAGGTTACTTGATTGTTCAACTAGTCTACGACGTGCATTGTTCACTAGATCCTCTGCATTCTGGATGACACCTGTCTTGGATGAACCTTGAAAACGTAAAAGACAACATTATTTCAAGACTTGCCAAGTCATAATTAATTCAAGAACCAAGAGATTATTACTCACTTGGTAGGTTGCTACAGAAATCACCACCATGATTGTGCAAGGGTTCACCTCCAAATTTGAACCTTGATTCATGTTAATCAAATACAATATATTCAGGAAGAAGACGATACACAAGTTAACCTTCAAAAATGAAAACACAAATTTACATAGAGTGGGAACAGATTGAGGTAACTAGTTAGGGTCCCTTTAATTGGTATCAAAAAGGACTCTGGTTTTCTTAATAGTTTCAAACCACTCTGCTAGAAGCTACTCAAAAAAGATCAAATTATCATAGAAAAAACAACTGGGAGAAAACCAAGGAATGTTTTTAAGATGGAAATTGTCGTCTGAAAATTAAATATGGCACACACATATCTTACCAGTGCCCAAGTTTTCTATTTACGCATCCGCTGGCAACATCAGCTGTAAGGTTCTCATCAAACCACAAATCAGTTAGCGAACTGAGTTTTCCAATCTCCAAGGGAATGCTTCCTTCAAATATATTATTACAGAGCAACCTAGAGAAAAATAGATTTTAGCTAGGTTGATAATATAAATCTTATACTAAACCATTAGCAGATGAAAACTCACAGGCGTTTCAGTGAATGCAGCCCTCCGAATTCTACAGGAATAATTCCACTCAGATTATTATCCCTCAAGTCCAACACTTCTAGTGTTGTAAGCAGTCCAAACTGTTGAGGAATTATGCCAAAAAAATGATTCTTGGAGAGGTCACTGATGACACGATAAAAAGATGTTAATCAGGGACGTCGTAAGATCAAAAAGATGAGAAGAATGAAAAAGTTTAAAAGAAAAGTCTAGAACAGACGTTGGGATATTATAATGGCTAAAAATGAGGTCCTGATACTAAGAATCCTCAAAGTTTAAGTCCCGGGAATTGTAATCTATTTGTTTTGTGACATTGGTATTTACCCCTGCTGTTTTTGGGATATTATAATAATTGTGCTTGTTTGGGTTTCATTATAATCTCCTATAATTAAAAAGTCAAAATCAAGCATTAATTCAAACCACACATTCATAACTACCACCAACTCATTATCCACCCATTTCGCGGAACCGATTACTCCTCTTCATTGTAATCACATTACAATTTTTCCCAAAAAAGCATATGTCAACAATTGTTGACACTGATAGAAATCTGCAGCTATAATGAAAATATCAATCAAGTGTCATCAGAAACTTCAATTCTTAGACAAGAAGTAGCATGGGATTTGTTACAGGCATAAACAATGTTTTGACAAAGAGAGCATCACGTACCTATGCCCTCATAACATGATTTCTTTGAATAAAATTGGTTGGTTTTCAAAAGAGTAACACAGAAACACTAGATTGCCCATAAATTAATATGACAGCTTTGGAGACGAGCAATGTCAAAAATTTTAAGTGTTATTTCATAGAGCAAGAAAAGATGTTCCAGGGGACTATTATTCAAGTAAAATGATTGCCATATGACCAGCTATATAGGGTATATTTGGCCTATTTATTTAGCCAAAAAATGATAATTTGATGATCCATCTACAGAAAAAATTCACCAGAATCGAGATTCACAGACAATTCTTTTCTTTCCCCTTTTTTCTTTCAATTAAAAATAGACAAACGTAACACAGTTAGGACATGAAAACAATGAAACTATATGGTGAATAATTAGCCAAGCGCTCTATTTAAGTTTGCTTTCGCAGAATCATAAATAAGGGCGGTATTATCTAATGCTTATATTGAGTTAGCTGTTATTCAAGTCGTTGCAAAACAAGTCAAACTTATAGGAGATATTATGTGTTATGAATCAGGTATTTACTACTTTCCCAATGATAGCAGGGAATCACAAGCAGAAAACTTGCAATGTTAACAACAGACCGAGCAGAAACAAATTTGGTACTCACAGAAATCGTAAATGAGAGAGATTTCCAAGCTCTGGTGCCAATACTCCTTCCAGGTAGCATCCATTGAGATCCCTATACAAAGATTAAAAATTTATAAATCTGGAATATAACTTTTTGTACATCAAAGTAATAATGTTATCAACAGCATTGGGTATTTAAGAACCACCAAGGACCAGGAAAATTAGAAGTACAAGCCCCCTAGTGACCAAGAAAATAAGAACGGGCCCTCTCCTGACTAAGAAAATAAGAACTAAGCCTCTACCAACCGAGAAATAAGAACAACGAGCCCTCTACTGACCAAGAAAATAAGGAAAAACTAGCCCTTCTGCACTAGATTATCAATATGGTGTTGAAGGTTGTTGTCCGTCTTTTTCTGTTTCTGTTTCTTTTTCTTTTTCTTTTTTTTGTTTGTGGGGAGAGGGTCGAAGCTAGTTTCCACTAGTTCAAGGGACAAGTGAATCAAGATGTCATCAACTCAGATAGGCAACAAAAGTTCTTCGATATAACTAACTCTACATAGTAATGTAGAACAAACAATAGGCACTTACAGCATTTGCACTTTACCGTCCAGACAATGAACACCAGACCACGCGCACGCGTTGGGGTCATTAGGATTCCAATTAGCTAAAGCTCCATATGGATCAGACTCGACCCTTGCTCGGAATTCCAACAATGCTAATCCTGCATTTCCATTTGTATCACTGTCAACAATGACAAAACACGCTCCATACTTCAAATTTCACACTCAGGGGGAATAATTACTAAAGTCAAATAATCCATTATTACCTTCAGAATTGAGCGACAAACACCCATGAATTTGCAAAACGATAATCAAGAGAGGGAGACATGATAACTGGATTCCATAAGTGGTCCAGCTAACCCCCATAGCTTGTCCAAAAGTCGCACCGATGGAGGTAATTACAGTTTCTACCAACAGCTAGAATTCTTTACAATGTGATAAACAAAATCGCCAGCTTCCTAGTGCAAAATTAACCTAGGAGCAATTATAAATTACTCGGAAACAAAACCAATCAGGCAACCAGACGACAAAATTTTAATCTTACAAAACCAAGACTATGCCCAATCTATATAGCAAAGAAAAGAATCTGTATCAACCCTCTTGAACATATTGACAGAATTGGGGTCTCTCATTCTCAACAATATTTAAATTTAGGAATATAACAGCTCTGGTTTCACCAACAATTGCATAACCTGGTTCGGCGAATTATCCCCAAGATTCAAATTTTAGCTGAAAATGCAGAAAAGGTGCCAAAGTTAACAATTGTGATTCCTCTAAATGACAGAAAAACAAGCGCAATTCGCAAGCCAAAACAGAATCATAACATAAAAGAATAACCATAGGAACAAGCAACATAAAGAAAAAGCAGAAGGACACAATATGTAAAAAATTACCATAAAGGACGCATAAAAGAGCAGTCAATGATGGTAAAAATAAATTCTTTAGCGATTTGAAATCCTTTTCCAAAACAATGTAGAGGGCAGAAAAAGGTGGCCGATGAATATTGTAGTTGACACTCAATTATGATAGCTTCAAAGAAAAATTATAGATAAAAAATAATTGATAAAAAATGAAAATTTCGGGTTTGTTTGTGTTTTTGTTTATTTATTTATTCTTGACTGCCCTTTTCAGGATGATCTGAGAGGATGAAACTCTCTTTGACCATCTTTTCTCTGAAAGAAGGGGAAAGGAAACAAATTTCTCTCTCCAAAACACATTGCTTCTTTAACTCTCTCTCTCTCTCTTTACACCCATCAAACCACAGACACCCTTCAACCCACAAAAAATGAAATAGAAAATTCTCTCATTTTCCCCAAGTTTTTTATTTGTTAATGATTTTTGATGTCATATGTTAATGGGTTAAGAATTCTCAACATGTGAGAAGGTTTAACATAAGTTTAATGTCTTTATAAGTCGATCGATTAATTTACTTTTATTGTGGTCGTCATTTGTTAACACTACGTTTTCGTATAATGACCCATTCAATCGTTTTTTTGGATGATTAGACGAGTTTATACTCGAGCAACTTTAACATTTTGCTAGTCGAGATTGTTAAATAATATTTATTTATTACACCATTTTGCTTTAAATGTCATAATTAGGGAGGTTAATCACCGGCGGATTCCTTATGGGTGGTGGTGAGGGGCCCGCACTATAAAGATTGAGTGGGCTCCACACTCTTCGCTTTATTTGCGTGCCTGCCTCAAACTCAAAATGCTCATGTCAATAAAGTCAATAAGGAAATTTGGCACTTTCGTCCTCAACTTTGTGAAATGTAATAATTCATCCCAACATTTCACTTACATTGCAAAACTTGTCATTTCCTTCATTTTGGTCATTAAATAACGAATTTGTCCTCTTTAAATAAACAAAAAAAAAAAAATTGTAAAAATAGTCCCGTAATCCTCGTTAACACCCAACCCACTCCATCTTTATCCACCCCACTCCCACACCACAGCCAAACATTTCCCTTTTAACAAATAATATAAAACGAAGTTGAAATTGCTTTGTTGTTTATGGATTGAAATGAACCTCAAATGTCACAATTAAGTGATTTATCATAAAACTCAAAGGTACTATTGTCTTATTTGGAGCATGAACAACGAAAGAGACATCTTAGTATTCTTCAAAAAGCTTGTCGGGTATTCTAATAATAAGACCTTCACAAGAATAAGAAAGTTAATGAGAACGAGCTTATCGATTTTGATATTCACTACTTGGAGGGATCCTGTTATAATAGTATTAGAGCATTTGGTGATGGCAGATATCTAACTCTTAAGTTGGATGATTCGACCACGAGAAGGTTTGACATAGATTGTAGCCAATGTAGACCGTGCATCCTGAGATTTTAAAATAAGCGATCGATGAAGCGATATTAGATAAGAGTAAATTCAAAAGTGCAATAAGAATAAATCGGTCGTCTAACCCAAAGTGCAAATGTGGGATTGGAGGAGATGAGACCGTCATTTTTTATGGTGGTTGATGTAAAAGGATAATATCAATAAATCGTAGTCCATAAGGATAATATCAATAAATCGTAGTCCATAAGGTCGTAAACAATTAGATGGGTATGAAATTGGAGGTGCCAAATGGGATTGTTAGTATCTTTGAGCTTGAGAGAAGCTTAAGCCGAGATATGCTCTTTTCTTAGCACATTTTTTTTCTTCAGGTAAAACCTTTTGTAAATTATAATTATGGATCTGAGTTAAAAGTTATAAATTCCATCACATGGAATATATAAATAAAAATGAGATTCGACCATACACCCTCCTATACGAGCACGTGCGTCTAACTTAAATATGTGATTGAAATTAATGTTTAACTTCGACCAATTTTATAAATGTCGAAGGAATGGAGGTTAAATCCTGCTCCTAAAATTAAGCTAGCCACAATCTTTCAAGTAGCCACAACAAAAACAAGATCCTAGAACGGGTCGCAATTGACCTCTAAAACCCCCTTCACCTTACCGGGGAAGGAAAGGGAAAAGCAAAAGCACACCCTATTATTGTATCAGCAAACAGACAAGTATCTTCTTTACAACTATCAACAGAAATATCCGCAACGTACGACTCAATCACCACTGTCTTGTCCCCAGCACCGCCACTTTTCTCTTCTGTATCATCCTCATGCAAAGTAGTGGTAGACTGATAATTCACAAGCTTATGATCCCCTCCAATTATAGTAAACACCATAACATGCGAAGCATCATCAAGAAAATCCAGCTCCACGCTGTTTCCGGCAGGAGGCCGGAGACAACCGTGATCTCCCGTACACTTCCGGCGCCGCCTCGTCCAGCAATCATGTTGCAGGTCTTGATGAACTGCTTGTGGGTTGTCGAATTCCCGAACCAAAGACCAAACCAGAGATAGTGGGGCGTCTATCATTTGAATTACAGAGGAAATGCACTGGTTTGGGGGAGAGAGGGTGGGTGTGGAATTGGCCGGTCATCTCTTCTCCAGTGAGTGAGGCAGGTTCGGAAGCTTTTACTAGCTCGGTTTGTTTTGCATTTGAATATATAGTATCATAATTTTGAGGGTGAAAAGGAGGCTAATAGCTACATAGCCGCCATGGCTGAAAAAGAGACCACCTTAAAAATCGAACATGTATTCCTAGGATTGGCTGTTATTTCGTCTTCAGCCTTTATCTCCTACGCCGTTTGCTAAGAGCCTACATTTGAATCGATATATTAAAGCAGAAATGAATACACAGACACAGTAGATATCAAAATTATAAATACAAATTCATTGGAAAGCCACATGTGAAATGGTTTGCTCTTTAATTTCCACGTGTCTGCTGAAAAATATGTTATTGCTTGGAAGTGTTGACTTTAATCTACAAAATTGAAATTAGAAGTAGAATTAAGCTGAATTTTCAGAAAAAAAATTGCCAATTTGATTGATCCAAACTCACATGCGCACGCGAATATAAAATGGCAAAAGATCTCCCGCCTACCCCTCATATTGTGAGTGTGCTGTTAGCATTTATGTCAAACCCTCCCTGACAACATAGCATGATTATTAGAAGTATGTTATTGAGATTTAAGTTTTAAAATATTATTCTTGATTAAACAATGTAAGTGTTTACCAATAAAAGTAGATTAGAACAGCAACCCATAATCGGGTTTTGACAAATAAAATTCATGAATTCTTCGTGTATTCATACAAATGGATGGAAAACTATAGACGCAATAAAAGTCATGAAACTTTAAGTCAAGATTATAGTTTGACTATTTAAGTTTATTAAACCAAACCCTCCAAACATATTGAATTATACTCGCATGGTAGGAATTAAAATTCAAATTATAATTTAAGTCAAAGTCAAATCATTAATTTTAATCGGATATTTTATGAGACTCACAATCACAAATTTAATCAACTTTTATCAAAATCTACTCAAAATTTGATTTTAATTCTCACCAAACATGGACTATATATTAAGAAACACCAGTTGGGTGGAAGTTTTGTGATTATTTCTTGAGCCAGCCTTCGACTTGTTCATATTTTAGTATCTTTAACCTACTAAGACCCCGTTTGACAATTATTATTTGAATTTTTTTTACACTCATTTTCAATAACACATTCACACAATAAATATTTTGTACATAAACTCAAAAAAAAAAAAAAAAAAATTCTACTTTTTGACCACACATTCTCCTAAGTATCACTATTTAAAATTTTATTTTGTTAAAATAATGGTTGTCAAACGATATATCTAGGTACACGCTCTTTTGAATATCTAGTTATTAAGCTTGTTCACTAAGATGAGTTCAAGATTGGATTATGTTGTTTGTACACTCCCTCCTTATTCTGCTTTATTCTATGCGCGTTTTTTTGTAACGATCCAACATTGCGTCGCAGCCGTTATCATATCATAAGTACTGTCCACTTTGGAAAAGTCTAGACCTATCTTACTCCTCACGAATTTGTGACGCGTCCCCCAAGATTCGAACCCAAAACCACCATATATGAGAAATTTAAGTTGAATCATGATACCAATCGAACAAGATGACATTTGTTGCATTGTTAAAAAGGATTGGATGATTTTTATTTTTTTTGATTGTCCAATTAAATGATACCATATGACCGAGTACAAGAGATGATCCACACCTAGCATGATTGATGAAGATTTCACTCTCAAAACTCAAATTAGCCCTTGTTTGATCTTCATCATTTTCAAAATATATTTTTTTCTCTTCTTTTTAATTAAACATTTTTCAATAAAATAATATTGCAATGAAACCTAAAATTTTTCCTTATTTTTTAATTACACATTCTTCATCAATAAACTATTCCAAAATGCATACTTCAATAAAAATATGGCTAAAAAGGGTGCTTAGTTATCTACTCAACCACCTTAAATGCGACGGACAGGAATGTTGACTTTACGAACGTAACGTCAACGTGCATAATTTAATTCATAAATATAATTTGGGAAAACTGTCCCGACAAAATGAGAAAATGACAATAGGAAACCGATTATTACGGACGTTACGGGGTCCATTTATATTCGCATAATTGATACCCATGTCCGTATACTAAATACTAGAGATTATCAGACACATCACTAACTAAATATAAAACCCCATAGTAACCACAACTATTGTTGTAGGGCCAAAAATAAAAATGTTGTTTGTGGCTAAAGCAACTTACACGTTAATAATGATTATCAATGAAGCAGACGTTTAAAAGTAAGCCATATTGCGTATAAAATAATAAATCATATGATAATTAAAGTGAATTGTCGTTTTCTAAGCACAATATTTAAATGCCAATAATTGCAGATGATCATGAGGTACAAACCATTTGTCAGTTCCCACCAAGAATTAGAAACCCAATTTTGACTTCTTCAAGGGACACTAGCACGGTAAAAAGAAAAGGACAGAAAAGCGAAAATGGAAATTGAGCTAGCCAAATTTGACGAGAAAGAAGAGAAAAGGAAAATAGCCAATGCCGTATGGGCCGTGGCAGTGCATAAATGCAAGCAGAAGTACCCAGAAGTCTCCTCCACCTCCCCTCCTAATCACATGCATGAAAGCCACGAAAATAGTATTCAGCTAAGCAAATTTTTGCAAAGATGTAAAAGTTATCGGCTTGCTTTGGATTGGAGAAAATCCTAATGGCTCACAATCCATTGCTTGAACAAAAATGTAAATGTTCCCTTTAAGGTTGGGAGATGAATGAAGTTGTCCAAGGAAAGAGAAAGAGCGCAAAACTAGAAAGTTAACGATTCCAATCCTGGACAGAAGAATATATCCACCCAATTGGATAGAATTACTCAATTATTGTCTGTGTCCAGTTGGTGTCGATTGGGATCAGGGTTCATAACTTGCACAAACTTGTTAATCAAATCAAAGGCCCAAAAAAATAATGATCCCAGATGAATTAAAAAAAAAAAAGAGAACGCAGATATAAAGAAATACATAAGAAGACAGACTCGTTCATGGACATTTTCCTCCTCATCACAAGCACCAACTTAGTTAACAAAACACTATCAAAAGTATGATGAAACCATTAATGGTGGAATCCATATTCTGTGATTCGGGGATCTAGCTCTCTCCCTTGAATCAGTTGTGAAAAATTTTCAAACCCGAGAATATATTCTCTTAACTCCTACATTTGATATGATCTTCCAAATAAAACGTATCAAATGCAGGCGTTAGAGGAGAATCATATCAACCATCATAGATAATGCATAAACCAATTTGCCCGTTGGTATACATCTCAGTTCTAAATGTTAGCCCAACCAATCTTGGATTTATAGCCTTTGTTGAAGTTGTTACCCTCTATCTCATGCTGATAAGCTTGATATTCTACAGCTGCTAAAAGCCAAGTCCAAACATAGTATACACAACCTAGTAAATGCATGACTCTTCTTTAAAGGACATACTTTGTTAAGACTTTTTTTTTTCGAATGAATTATGATAAAGGTACCTCCAGTATTGAAACACAGCGTAGGAAGTCTGAAGTTTGACAATCTATATAATTTATAATTTGCCAACTGCACAGACATTATAAGTCTTCACAGATATAGTATATATAAACATATAGACGTAGAAATCTACTAAATATCTTTTATAGCATCTGCATTTTGCGACAGATGGACAGTTAATTAGTAGCAGTCAAGAAGAAGGCACTTTTATTTCTTCTTTTTTGTCACAAATAACTCGAGAAATGCAAGTCACTCGAAGGAGAAAACATTAGCATAGCTGTGTATTTCATTATTTAGATAGTTTTACATGACCTACTAAAAGTCTAAACCGAAGAGTAAAACATAAGATCAGGCAACATTTGAGCTTGCTTGCTTAGCAAAATCAAAGGTATATCTGGAAAAGAAAGAGTAACAAAACAGTTACATACAAAAGCCATACAGGTTTGTAAAAGAGAGAGAAAAGAGCACACACTTTTCCTCCTACTTTCTCATCTACTCTGTGTCCGAAGGTAAGTATGAAGAATCAGCAACATTTCCGAGCGCGAGGCTTTGTAACCCCGGCTTCAGTTCCCGGTTAAAGAACTCCTCGTACTCTACTCTATCACCTCCTTTCTTCTTCACCTCCACGACTCTCAACGATGGTGTCAATTCAAATATCTCAGCTGCAATTGTCAATGGCCCTTTCACACCCTCCCTTGAACCTTCCAAACTCACTCTGCAGTCCTTTTTCCTAACTGAAAAGCTCACCACCTTCGCTATTTCCTCCAATTTTGATATGATATTTGAAACAGGTGCCCCTGAAACAAACCTTGCCTCATCTGATCCCTCCTCAAATAATCCAGACAAGTCAAAACCACGCGAAAAAGAAATAATATCGAATGCATTCAAACTAGCAGGCCTCGGAAGACTAGAAAACCTCCTTCTGGTTTCCAATTCAGACTCCGACTCAGACAATGACTGATCAGATAAAGACTCCACATCGTCATTCTCATCATCGTTAACACTGCACAATTTATCATCCTCAATATAAAATTTCACGTGCTTAAAACCCCTTTTGAACCATTTGTTGTTCATAATTTCCGGGATCGTGATCCGGGTTTCTGGATTTGTATCAAGCAAACGGGTTAAAAGTCGAATCAATTCCGGTGTAAACCATCTTGGACATCTAAATTCGCCTTTATATATCTTTTTATACATAGCCATGATATTTTGATCATGAAATGGCAAGTGGCCTGCCATCAACACAAAGAGTATCACCCCACACGACCAAATATCGACTTTGGCTGCATTATAACCCTTCCGTGCCAAAACCTCCGGCGCCACATATGCCGGCGTCCCACAGAAAGTGTGGAAAAGGCCATCCTGCTTTATCTGTTCAGATATAGCGCTGAGGCCGAAATCAGAAACTTTTAAATTACCATCCTCATCCAATAAAATATTCTCCGGCTTCAAATCCCTATGATACACGCCCCGGGCATGGCAAAACGCCACCGCGGAAATCAACTGCTGGAAATACTTCCTCGCAACCTCTTCTTTGAGCCTGCCTTTTGCAACCTTGTTAAACAATTCACCGCCTTCTACATACTCCATAACGAAAAATATTTTCGACTTAGTTGCCATAACCTCAAACAAGTGTACGATATTCGGATGCCGAACTCTTCGCAATATCGAGATCTCACGTTTGATGTGCCCTATAAGGCCAATCTTAAGGATCTTCTCCTTGTCTATGACCTTGATCGCCACGTTTTCACCCGTTTTAACATTCTTGGCCTGGTAAACCTTCGCAAACGTCCCGTGGCCCAAAAGTTTCCCGATTTCATACCTCTCTAATAACAACCCCTGTATTTCTTTCTGTTTTGCACTTCTTGTTGCCGTGGGCGCAGCGGCAGCCATGGATTCAAATTTCAAGCTTTCCCCAAAATCGCAAATTTTCAACTTCAAAATCCAACAAGGAAATGCCCTATTTTGCGAGTGGCGGTTCTGACATGAGTTGGAGGGGGCTTCTAGGGTTGAGCTGGTGATTTGCTTTTTTGTGAGGTCCATGAAAATTAGAGGATTGATTGTTTTTTATAAGAGAGAGACTCTAACGGCGTCTTGACGGAGGGCATAAACGTAAAAAATCTTTAGAAGTGGGACAGCTGGAGCTACATGAACGGTGATGAGATACTGACTAACGGCTATCTTATTAAGGAATGAAGATTCCGTGTCCGGGCGACTACGTTTGATTTCAAAACTTGGCCAAAGAAGGAAATTTGGCGCATATGATCCCTAATCTTTTCTTTCAATGTGTAAATGGTCCCTAATGTTTTGGCATATACATCCCTCACATATGTATTTTGATGCGAAAGTAGTCATTTTACTAAGTGTGTGTTTGAGCCACATTATTTTTGGAAGAATGTATTTTGGAATAGTAGATTGATGGAAAATTTATGGTTGAAAAAGAAAGAAAAGTTATTGATGTGATAGAAAATATTATTTTATTGAATAATGTGTGGTTGAAAATGAGTAAAAGAATGAGAATGAAAATTTTCATGTGTACAAAACATGGGCTAAAAAGTAAAAGCTATCAATACACCCTTCATTTTGATCAAGAAAAATTGAATTTAGGTCCTAACCTTTGAAATAAGTACAAATGGACCCCGAATTTTTATCCAATATTAGGGTGTGTTTATCTCCCATTATTGGGAAAAAAATTGAGTACTGAATAGTATTTTTTGGAGAATGTGTGGTTGAAATTTAAAATAACTTTATTGGTTTATGTGTATAATATTTTATTGGGTGAATATGTGATGGAAAATCTCACTATAGCAAATAATTTTTTGAAATAACGGTAGACAAAAAGGAGCTTAATTTGACAAACTTAGCCCCCTGTTTGGTATGGATTAAAATCAGATTTTTATTAGAGTTTGATTAAAAGTGATGAAATATGTGATCGAAAAGTTATGGAACCCGTAAAATATGTGGTTAAATCTTAAAATTGATTGTTGACTTTGATTTAAATTAAAATTTGAAGTTTAATCGATACCCAACAGGAGTTAAATTTATCATCATAACCCTTATTTGATTTTCATTTTTTTAATATATTTTTCTCTTTTCATTTCAACTACACATTTTTCAATTAAGCCCCTGTTTGACATCAATTCTCTTTCTTTATTTCAACCATACATTCTATTAATAAAATAATATTACACATAAACCCAAAAATTCTTCTTACTTTTTAACCACACATTCTTCCCATCAATCATTATTCCAGAATTTATTCTTATCCAAAATGGGTGTCAAACACACCCTAAATAATCACCCTAAATAATATTACACGCAAACCCAATAAATTTCCTTATTTTTTAACGAATAATGTTATTTAGTCTCATTGGAATTGCAACATTAACACGTAGCATTATTCTTTTTTCAACTACACATTCTCCATCAATTTATTATTTCAAAATGTATTATTCAGGCTTGTCAATTAAAATTTCTTGGAAAAGGAAAATAATTAAACTATCGTGCTTTAAGGGTATGTAATTACTTTGTGATGTGAGAAAATTAAATAAAAATCAAGATAAATAAATAAGAAAATGACTTACATAATTTTAGTTCGACTAATATTATTGTGTTTTTAAACAAAGGACAAAGCATCTTATGATGAGATTAATTTTATACATAATTATTTTACTGTGCTATTCATTTATTAACTACAGATATTAGAACTCCAAATGCATATTGTATTTAATTATCGTTTTATTATCATTTTATGTTAAATAAAACTAAGATCGGTTGAAAATAAATAAATTACATAGTCATTATGTTATTTTTCTATCTTAATTTTTATAGGAGTTTTTCAGTGACAAAAAAAACGACATCTACTTGATGCTCAATATTTAACTTTTTTTACTTATATCAACACATGCTTTCAATCGATATTGAGGCAGATGAAACATGATAATGCCATTTCTGGAGAGATTTATCAGGCTCAGATTTTTTTAGAAAAATTAATTTGGAAGAATGTATTTTGGAATAATAGATTGATGGAAAATGTGTGGTTGAAAAGGAAAGAAAAGTTATTGATGTGATGAAAAATATTATTTTATTGAAAAATGGGTGGTTGAAAATGAGTAGAAAAATGATAATGAAAATTTTAATGTGGCTCAAACAAGGGCTAGTATGTTCATTTATATATTATTAAATAAATGTTTCCAAAGTTTAGGGACCTACCTGCACTTTCCTAATTAACATGAAGGGTATATTGATCTTCTTAATAAAAGGACCCATTGCGCACAAAAACACATCGGCGAAGGATGTCCATATCAAAAAAATAAATGTTAGGAACCATTTGCACACCGAAAGTAAAGATTAAGGACCATTTGCTCCAAATATCCACAAGGACCACAACATAATTATGTTTTAAAAACCAACCTTATTTACAGATCTTAACTCATGCCCATAGTGGAGCAGGATAAAAATTTATCACTTCTAACGTGGTTTTCAACAGTCATACATTCAGCAGTAATAAACTTTTATCATGTCCACTAAGAAAAGGAGATCAATTGTAACTTTATTTATCGATGGAGGATCAAAGGACAAAGACTTATAAAGTTGAACCAATGTCGAATCGATGATTAAAGCAGGTAAAATTAAATAAATAATGGAAATTTTGCATGAATTAGTCTGTTCGTGATTGAAGTGGCTTGTGTTGACTCGAGCCTGAACTGGGCGGTTCTTATCTTATTTTTAACATTTTTGTTAATATAGATCTCTGATCAATAATTAAACTCGTTTTCGATTTCCCCGTTTAACCCACTAGTCCTTAAGCATGTCTGAAAAGTGTTTATAAACTATTTAAATTATAAATAAATAACAAATGAGTGGTACATAAATTGATAATACGTGTGAATTGTTCGAAACGGGTAAATAAAAGTGGGTACCAAAAATATGCATGACATTCATAAAAGGGCAGGTTACCAACTTTGATTAGATTATAGTGATTATAGTATTTTACAACTAAAATTTGTTCATTGGCTTGATTATTAATCCATTTGCTCAGCTCAGGCGTAATCATGGATCGTGCATTGTAATATGAATTCAAACGTACGTAATCTATTTGATGGCCATTATCTGGAGAAAACGAAATTTTGAATAATGATTTTTTTTGAAAAATGTGTAATTAAAAAGTATGAAATTTTATCGAGTTTACGTGGAAGATATTTTATTGTATAAATGGGTGATTGAAAATGAGTATAAAAATTAAAGAGTTTATAAATAATGATTGTCAAACAGGGGTTTAATTCAAGGGTTACATAATACACAAGTAACATTATGTAATTGATTGGTGGAATACATATGTAACATATGGTGTACGAGTAAAATATTTCAATATGCTTCAGTTAAAAATTTGATAAAATTTTGGGTCAAAATGAACAATTAATCATATTACCTGTACAACTAGTTTGACAACGTGTCAGTTGACAGGAATCTGGACATTGATTTGAAGAACTGTTTGCCATCTTTACTCACATACTGTCGAGCTAGTTGTACAAATTTATTGTACAGCTGATTTAATACTTGATTTTAATACATAAAATTCAAAATTTTATAAATTTTTCAATAATAAGTTTCTCAAATTCTATCAAAAATAATGTTTCTTTTCAGTAAAAATTAATTTTTGGTAGATATTTTAGTAGATTTTGATAAAATTTTGATAAACGTGAGATTGAAAAGTTGATAGAAATTAATAATCTTAAGAAGTATATTATTAAAATTAATCGTTAATTTTAATTTTAAATTTAACAAAATTTTTAACTAAATCAATCAGGGCAAGCAGCATTATATTCTTGATGGATCTCCAAATACAAGTCTCTGGATGGTTGGAGATAAGGCAACCCAAATTGACGGTGTTGATTCGGACACGTAATCATTGACGGTGTTGATATATATAAATGCTCCACTTTTTACTAGTTGTACTCCAGCTGCTAATCCGGAAATGCATGCGAAGTTGCAAAGTGCATCTGGGGAAAAGGGGGCGGCAATAGCTGATTGAGTAAGCAAAGGCATCACGTTCAGTTTCGTGGCGTCATGGCCAGGTCGTCACCTGTATTTGCATATGTTTCAAGCGCGTATTTCTGCTGTGCACGATACATATTTTTTTCTTTTCAAATGAAGAAAGAAAGATTTGCATCATAGGAGTTTGCTGGATTAAATTAAAGAGTTGGTTGCCACTGATTCAATGAATATGCCTTGGATGTTTAGCTCCTGTTTGACACTCATTTTTTCACATTCTCATTCTCATTTTTTTTTCTCATTCTTCATTTCATGTTTCCAACAGTGAAATTCACTCGATAATTCTAATTTTCATATTACGTGAGGAACTTTATAGATGACATGTAGAAGCCATCCAAGAGTCGATGCTACATTAATGTCATATGAAGACTATACTTATCATAGATGCGTCGATGTGTACGTGAATAAATTGAGGCTCGTGAACCTCTTAGACTGAACATTGCTATAAGTGATGAGACTCACCCTCACGCCTAAACTAGCGATGCAGTGTGGTAGAAGTGAAAAGATTGCCTAAACCCAACACCAGTGCATTAGGATTGCCTCATGAGTCATGCTACTTGTACAAAATAGGTTGGCAAAATTGGTTTTTAAAATATGCGTTGACAAAATCTAGATAATTGATTTCAAAAATTGTTTTGAAATCAACGACTTAGCTTTTACCACACAACTTTTTTCAACAAATTTTGTCAACCTATTTTGTATTAGTAAAACCTTTACCTCATTAGGCTTGGGAGGGACGTACATAAGCAAGTGGACAATTGTCAAATGGTGAGCCAAAATTACAGAGTCTTGCAAAATCTAATGACAAATGCCAAGCATCAAGAAATCTCCCTATAGTACGTGTTAGACATCAATTGTAAAGATCATTTACCTTATCATACCAATAAGTAAAATCAAATCACTAAATGGGACGTTATAATATGAAATGGGTTGACGCACCTTAATAGTTGATATTGAATGAAAGGTTCTAAGGTGGTTGAGGCAGAGTCGCAAAAGTGACACAATCAAATTATCCACTTTCGGTAAATGATGTGACAAGTCGACCATCCGTCCGCATCAACTTATGAGCGAGAAATAAATCATCTAGACGAGGGAGATTTCCATTTTGCTCCTTAACCCTTATAAATACCCAACGTAAGATCCCAACCAAGGTTGGTAAAATGTTGTCAAATTGTCTTTCCACACCCAAATTCTATATATTGATTTGATCGTTAGAGTGTAGACGGCCGTTGCACTCCTTCCTATTCAACTGGCATTCGAATGTTGTCTTAACTCAAGTGTACACGAGCTATACATATAGACAAAAATGTGATTTAGTTCTGTCGGCTTTAGAATCATCTAAATTTCGAGATAAAAGTTGCCAAAATAAAAACAAGAAAATATGAATAAAAGTTGTCGAAGCATACCATAATCCTGTGAAAATATGAGGGTTTATAAATATTTATTCAATATTTGAAATAGTTTTTGTGTAAATTCCACCTAAATATTTAACTTTTAGTTGACACTCATGTACTCGGCCTACTGCTCATGATTTTTCATACTCATGGCCTTTTAAATGGGTAATTAGCACATAACATCCACACATCTCATTGTTATCGTGGAAAACGTCAATACCTTTCATTTTTTGGCATTTTCACCATTATTTCCACATTTCATTGCACAAAATGTCATTTTCATCAATTTTCTCAATTAAAAATGGTAAAATGACGAAAATACAATTTCCTTTAAATAAAACAAAATGAAAAAGAAAAAAACTAATTGCAATCATAGTCCTAATTTTTTTGAAAAGCACAAATGAGTCCCAAATAAATTATTAAAGGGGTAATTAATACATAATGTTCATATATTTCACCTTTATTGCGAAAAACGTTCATATTTTTCATTTTTTGGCATTTTCACATTTAATTACACATTTGATTGTACAAACCATCATCTCCATTCATTTTTATCTAATTTCTCAATAAAAAACTGTGAAATAATGAATATACCATCATATTTTAATAAAAAATATATTTTTTTATTTCTAATTCTTTAATAATTTATTTGAGACTCGTTTATATTTTTAATTTTTTTTTAATTTTTTAATAAATTTAATTGAGACTCGTTTGCACTTTTTTTTTAAAAAAAAGTTAAATTTTAATAATTTATTGAGGACTCATTTGCACTTTTTTAAAAATTTGAGACTATGATTGCAATTAATTTTTTAGCTTTTTTTATTCAAAGATAAGGTTATATTCGTCATTTCACTGTGTTTTACTGAGAAATTGGATAAAAATGAATATAAATGATGGTTTGCGCTATCAAATGTGTTATTAATGGTGATAATGTCAAAAAAAATATGAAACGTATGGAAATTTTTCGCAACAACGGTGAAAGATAGGGACAATATGTATTAGTTACCCTTTTAATAATTTATTTGTGACTTCTTTGCATTTTTCTTAAAAAAATTGGAATTGTGGTTGCAATTAATTTTTTCCTTTTTCTTTTAGTTTTATTTAAAGAGAGGGGTATATTCGTCATTTCATAATTTATAATTGAGAAAATNAGAAAAAGATAGGGACGTTTTGTGCTAATTGCCCCTTTTAAATTATGACATCTACATTCCCATCTAATTGTGCATGGTTTTAAAAGTTGGAAATACGAGTGCAATAAATGGTTGGAGCAGAACATGAGTACCACACTTAACACTTGCTAGCTCCCATTTTCTAAATTTTATTTTAAATTTATTGTTTAACTACACATTTTGCCCATGTTCGATAGGAATTAAAATCAATTTTTTAATAAATATTTATGAAATGTGTGGTTGTTAAACCGTGAATCGTATGAAATGTGTGGTTAAATTCATTGTTAACTTTCCTAAATTAAAATCTATATCAAACAAAGGCGAACCATTCATAATTTTTATAAATTTCTTAACTTATAATTTATTAATTTTTATTAAAATCGATTAAAATTTTGATTTTTAACAAACTCAGACTGGATTGATGAGACTCCTTGTAAAATTTACTTATCTCGGTAAAATGTATAAGGCCCTATTTGATACCAATAATTTTCCATGGAAAATCCCATTTTCCTATTTTTTACCTGTTTGATTGCATCCCACCCGCCATCTCATGCGTCTCTTTTCCTTGAAATGAATGAATTTGTTTTACTTTTGTTTTTGTGGTTTTTGATTTTCCAGCTTTTTTCTGACAATTGGGAAAAATTCTGGACACAATGATTAAAAAATTTATCACTTTTATTGATAATTTTCATACAAAACAAAGTCAAGTGAATGATATTTGATATGGTAATTTTTTTTAAAAAAATTTTTGGCAAGTGAAACAAATTCTAGACTCAATGGTGAAAGAAATTTTCACTTTAATGGACAATTTTCATAAAAACAAAATCAAACGGATACCAAACTTTCAACATTTTTCATATAAAAAATTATACCAATCAAATCCAATTAATTAAAATTTTCAATAAAACAATTTCTAAACAATTCAATTCCCTTAAATTCATTTTTCTTTTCATCCATTTTTTACCATTGCAATCAAACGGACTCCAACCCCATTAGGGGCGTGTTCGGTAGTGTTTAAAATTCAATTAAAATTGAAAATACAGTCGTTATTGGGTCTCACTCATCTAATAAAAGTCAATAACAACGACTACTCTTTTAATTTTAATTCGATTTTAATCTCTGCCGAACACGCTTATTCTCCAATTTTATTTTGTGCAGTGGCATTCAAAAGAAATCTACGCTAATTCGGAAACTGCGCCTTAGTTCGAAATTGGAGTAGATTGGAGAGACTAATACCGGTGGGAAGTGACATCGGAGTAACCCGACCCGCTATCAGTACACCCGCTGGCCACCACTTTCCTACCATTCATACAAACCCTCGTGTTCCAGATTTCAAATCCGAAACTTTCAATTTTGTGATTGTATTCGTTCCTCGAATTTCAATTCAGTAAGTGACAAGAAAACGTGTGAAATTGAGAGGCACGAAAAACCCTAGTTTTTTTTTCCCGGGATGGCGTCGGGGAAGAAAGCGTCAGAGGGCATAGCTTTACTATCCATGTACGGTGATGAGGAGGAGGATGATGAAATGGAATACCTCGAAGAACATAAAGAAAGAGAGCAAGAAGAAGAAGGAAATCTCATAAGCGACGCCGCTGCAGAAGAGGACGACACTGTAAGTAACGGCGTGGTTGCTTCTGATTCCGGCACTGAAAATACTCCTTTGCGACACAAGGAGCGTGGAGGTCTGAATGACAATTCTACCCCCAATAATACCTTTTATTCTGGCGGCACTTTTTCCGCAACTACAACTTCGCAGCAGCCGTCTCTCTTTTCGCCTCAACAGCAACTGCAACAGACTGTTGGTTCGGATTTGAATTCGGTTCAGAGTCGGAAAAATATGCTTACCATAGTGGATTACGAGCAGGATGAGGTGGCAATGTCCCCTGAAGCCGAGGTACAAAATTATATATCTTTGGCTTTATCCATGTTTTGTTTTTGTTCTATTTCATAATTTTGGTTGGTGATTGGTAATTGTAGGAAGGTGAAATAATGGAAACTGGTCAGGTAAAGTATGGAGATGAGCTCCAAATGGTGATTGGTACGTGTGACTTGAATGTGATCAGTTGTGATTATTTATCACTTCGTATGCATTATCTATCATTGAACACTCCTTGAAGTTCAGAAAAATTATAATTTTGCTGTTAGAGGGAAATGATTGAATAGATTGAACTATACAAAGTGCCATCTAGTAGAAGATAGAGAATATATAAATACGTGTTAACAGGTAGTGACCTTCATAATGTGTTAGATTGCCTGTAAATTACATTACTTTTGCACTTTGGCCCCTGAGAATTCCGAGTTCTACGATGGAGTTCTTCTATTGAACTCTATTATAGTGTATAAGTTATGGTGTTTACTGTTTACTGTTTACAATCTCCCTGCTATGTACAAAGATAAAATTAACACAGGTAATGATTAATGCAGCTCAATCATTTAGCCCTTGTGTGATGTTGATTTTTTGAAAAATGATATTTTTTTTTTGAAGAATGTGTAGCTAAAAATTAAGAAAGCGTACAAAATTATATTATTTAGAGAATGTGTGGTTGAAAATGGGTTTGAGAAAAAAAGGTTATTTTGCATAGATCACTTTCAAACGAGATTGCGTAAGCTTTACATGTGATTGCCTTTTATTTTTGTACTTTTCCAACTGGTGCCTTAGTTGCATTACTTGCAGCACATAAGATGTGGACGGTCTGGTTTTGCTTTCCATTGATGAAAGAGAGACAATTTTGTGTTTAAAAAAAGGTTTTTGATTTCGTGTATAATGGGTGTAAAAACAATCGTACCCAATTTTGAATCTAATTTGCTTTTAGGGTGTGTTTGAGCCACATTATTTTTGAAAAATATATTTTGGAACAGTAGATTGATGGAAAATGTGTGTTTGAAAAAGAAGGAAAAATTATTGATGTAATGGAAAATATTATTTTATTGAAAAATATGTGGTTGAAAATGAGGAGAAAAATGAGAATAAAAATTTTAATGTGGTTCAAACAGGGGCTTATAGTTCTGGAAAAAGAATCTATACACAGATTAGAAATATTGATGAATTTTTTTTATAGTATTTTTGTAATTGCCCATATTTCTAGGTGAGTTCCAAGAAATAACATCACCAGGAATGGTTCGACTCCCGACACCTAGCACTCAAGCAACACCTCCTCAATTATTAAAACAAATTGATCCGCCAGATTTAGATGTGGTGAACCATGTTGCAAATGAAGCAGAAGCTGCACAGACCGAAGACACTGTTATGATTTCTGCAGAAGAGCCAAAAGAGAATGATGCACTGGACAAGTTTCTCTCCGCACCCCCAAAGGATAAATGCTCAGATGAACTGCAGGTAAGTGCCACTACACGTTCTTCTTTATATAAGAGATCAACTTTTCTTTTACTTGAATGGATTATGTGAAGCATAATTTATTGTCAGAACTCAAAATACTTAGCAGGTTAACTTAAATACTGTTTAGATGCTATTGTATAAGCCACCCAATAAAGAACATATGGTAGTTTCACTAGTTTGTTTTCACCATCACATGTCTTGAGGCCTAATTCCTGTAAGCCAGCATTTTTAGGACATCTTATGGGTCTTCAATTCGTCATGATTGTTGAGGAGTTGTCGAATATTAATGACTACTGAGGTCGCAGTTTGTGCTCAAAAAGCATTGATACGTTTGAAAGTGGACGCACCACCCAGTAACTTCATCAATTCCGCAAAGATCTTTGTCTACTATGAAAAAGATGTTTCTACTGAGGTCCTAATCCATTTTGGGCAAAAGCTGCCTGAATGACTGTACAGACATCATAGGCTTCTGTGTGCACAGGGTGGGGTGGAAAAGAAGGGGTAGGACGGGGCTTACTTTACATCAAATGTTAGTATCTGTAGCGTCTTTTGGATAACGCGTTTAATAAATCAGCATTACATGTGACCCCCAGAAAATCGTCCATGCCAGCTAATTCAAAATCAAGTCATTCAATTCTGGATGGATTAATATATGATCTATATGTTTAGTCCCTATTAGCGACAAATACAATATGCATGATTTGGTGCTACTCTAGCTAGAACATATTGATTGGCTATTCTTTGAATAATTTTTATCTTCTGTACTTTGTTGCTGCAGGAGAAAATAATCAGGTTTCTTGCACTAAAGAAAACTACTGGAAGAAGTTTCAATTCAGAAGTGCGTAATCGAAAGCAATACCGGAACCCTGATTTTTTGTTGCATGCAGTGACTTATCAAGATATTGATCAAATAGGATCTTGCTTCAGTAAAGATGTATTTGACCCTCATGGATATGACAAAAGTGACTTCTATGATGGGATAGGTTACTATTAATCCGTCTATTTTTTCATTTGTTGTCTTCATGTTAAGCAGTATGGTCCTTCGTATTTTTTGACCTTCAATCATTTCTTGCTTTCAATTTTTCTTCCCTCATCTAGCCAACTGTTGTCTGACTTAAACTAGTTGTGGCCTTTTTGTTTGAGTAGAGGTTGACATGAGGCGTGAAATGGAGAGGAAGGAGCAAGAGAAGAAGAAGAATCAAAAAGTAGATTTTATGTCTGGAGGATCACAGACTGGAATAGTTGTCCCTACGCCAAAAGTAAACATGCTAATTCCAGGTTTCCAAGCACCTATCATATCTATGAATTTTCTTTCAAGTTTGTATTTTTAATTCTACCAGCTGGTCTATAAGCCTAGTCCTTGATTTTCATTTCTATTGAATCTGCTTGGTTATTTCGGGCTTAGCCACTGTTCCTTGTGGTGTGTTAAATGCAGTTCAAGCTTCAGTAGATGCTGTAACTCGGGATGGTAGACAGAACAAAAAATCGAAGTGGGATAAGGTTTTTATTTACTTTTACCTAGTCTGCAGGTCTTTTAGAAAACTTGTATTGCTGTATGATAAAATCCTCTGCATTCTTCTGAATTCAGGTGGATGGCGATCAAAATAATCCTCTGATCAGTGGAGGGAACGATTCTTTGTCTACTGTGGACGCACAAGCGTTGCTATCTGCTGCTAAAGCTGGTAGTGGATACTCTGCTTTTGCGTAAGTTCTTCATACTAATCTAATTTTGACCGTTCATCTCTCTTGCATGTGGCTGGGAACTTTGATTTACACAACTATGAACAGTGGTCAATAATGCGTAATTCATTTACTGCCAATCTTGATGGACCTTTCTCGTTGAGATGGATTAATATTGAATAACCTGGGCTGTGTGACATTTCATAATCTGTTAAGAGTATGAAATAGGTATATGTGCAAGTACTCTTGAAGAGACCTGGTTGACTAATTCCATATTTCTGTAAGAATTTTAAAGATTTAACTTTGGTTGGGTTCAAAGTGATTTTAAAGATTTAACTTCGAAATACTGTAGGAAAATAAGAGATTAGCGTTTTGAATAATTTTTTACTTTCTGGGTTGTTTGTGTGTGTGTGTTTATTTATTTATTTATTTATATTTTTTTTGTGAAAAAGTTTGCATATGCTGTAGCAATAATTCTTTGGACCTTGTAATTTATTGTGAATGGTTGAGAATACATATTATACATGGTTCCGACGTCCCCGGGATGGGGGATGAGGATTTTAGAAGGAGCTCTATTATATATGGTGGAAATTTACAACCAATGAGGATTAGCTTAACATACTAATGCTTTCCCTTAGAGAAGTAAGCTTTTTAAAAGTCATTTCTGTTCTTTGTAATATTGCAGCTCATCGATGAAAAAAATATATTCACACTTATACAAAACTGGTAACTTGCAGTATTATTATTAAGATTTAATCCATGAAGCTGAGTTAAAGGGAACAACAATGATTTCTTCAAGAGAAAGACGAGACACAGGCAAATAGTAACTTTCACAGATTAGTATATACTGAAACCTTGGTTGAAGTTCTCCACTATAAGTCTATAATCTTTCTGAAGTCTTCCAACATCCCGAGTAGACTTGATTAGGATTGGAAAACCTAAACCTTATTTGCAAATAAAGTTCCCTTGACTTCATTAATCTTCCTTGCCTCGATTTAGCACAAGCACGCATCATTACTAGAGTTGTTAGTCGTGTCCGGTTCTTGGGTGGGTGGGGGGACACTCGTGCCCGGTTTATTATAAATATTTTTTGTTTTGTCTTTGAAATTTAAATTTTCTTTTTCAAATAATACTAAATGAGATGGGCCGGGGCACCAATACCCCCGCCAGCCAACCTAAGCCACTTCAGGTCTTGGGTCAACTGGTTTTTTCTCAGTCTCTAGCTTTTGAAGATCGTTAGTATCACATATTCGAAATATGTTAGGGATGCCAAATTATCCTCCGCCTAGTATTATAATGGCTTCTCCAATGGGCTTGGCTATGAGGCCACACATACGTTCTGGTAGTTGAAGAAAATATTTATTGGCACACCTTGGAAAAATTGAAATGTAAACTCAAGATTAGTCAAATGTAGTGCACGACTACTATTTAAATGTACAAATGCGTCAAGAATGTCTGGTTTTTTTTTAAGCAGATGAATGATCCTAAATATGCTGAGATTCCTAACATTGCAGGCGACAAAGGCGGAAGGAGGCAGAAGGTAGGCGATCTGGTGAACGGAAGTTGGAGAAAAGATCTTAGAGTTGACATTCTTGTTCGACAGCTTGACATTCAAATATCAAAGCCACTAATGTGAATAGGGAAGAAGTGACTTGATTAATTCCTGTATTTCATGTCTAGATCATTAACTTTTTGATTACAACCGGAATCAAAATCCATGTCTACAATAGTTCCCTTCTTCCCCATCCACCCTGCAAAAAGGGCCATATTTGTTATATACAGGCAATTTGCTTCCTCAACGTTCATGCCTCGTGTTATCTCAAGCTATGAGTTATATCTGGATTTTTTTTGGGGAGAGCGAAGATTATTAGCCCTTGTTTGATCCCCATTTTTTTCAAAATACATATTTCCATTTCTTGTCCATCACAGTAAAATAATATTATACGCAACCCAAAAATTTTTCCTTCATTTTTATTCACACATTCTCCATTAATTTACTATTTCAAAATGCATGTTACACAAGGAAAAAAAAAAATGGGACTCAAACATGCCTGGAAAGGCATTATGTACTCGATAAATGTGTAGTTAAATTTTCCTTGATAACAAGTTCGGGTAGTCTTTCGTCTTACATGATTGACATGTATGTGTTTCAGTCTTTCGTCTTACATGATTGACATGTATGTGTTTCAGTTTTCCATTATGTAAACAAATTTTTTTGTTTTATTTGTTATTGCGTAGTTCAGCTTGTCTAGAATCATTATTTTCTTTATTTTAGGACTCTTTCCGCAACTTGTCTCAAATGTCGGCAGGTTTTTCAGGTCTAAAACAGTAAGGCTGTGCTGTTTGGTTGACGGGTTCCCCTACCCTATCCCCTTCAGAAAACTATGGACTATAGAAGGTACCCCCAAACAAAGATTTAAAATTTTCAGAAAAACATGGATTTGAGTTGGGGACAATTCTTAGGCCTCTTTTAAGTTTCGAAAGAGTCGGAAGTGCCAATAAAAGCGCGCTTTACTAAGCTGTGCCAGAAAATATGAAATTTTTTTGTCTTATTCTGTGCATTGCGGCTTTGTGAGATATGAAATATGAAATCTTCCAATACCTCCATTTCATTATCTGATGCTTACCTAAATATAAAGAATAATGCTTTTTGAATAGGCTCAAAGACAGGTGGAAGGACAGATGTGACAAATTTTATTTTTTTCAAACTGTCTAATCACGTGTCCCTCCCGTTTTTCAACATGTTTTTAAGTCTGTTTGTGTAGCACAATTGAAATATAAATTGACCTTTCCGTCTGGCCCCTAAGTAAAGATTGTGGTGTGCCCTACCGCATCGAATCCACCTTCGGCCTGTGAAAACTGGAAAGCCGACTGCTGTTCAAATCTCAAGACTTCTGCTCTTTAAATTTTTATTAATTATTAATTTAAAATTTTCCCTTAAAAGACACCGGTCGGGAGAAACCATCCTTAGATTGGAGCAAAGGCATGCATATTGCCATCGGAGTCTTCTATATTTGCACGAACTGTGAGGTGAAAGCTGCAAAAGTTTTGCTAGATGAAAGCTTTGAAGCCATTGTTGGGGATTTTGGTCTAGCTAAGCTCTTAGACTCTAAAGGACTCACATGTTACAACTGCAGTCCGTGGTAGTGTAGGACATATTGCCCCCGAGTATCTCTCCACAGGTCAATCTTTTGAGAAAACTATTTGGATCTGTGACATCTGTCATTCTACTCTTGGAACTCGTACCTGGGCAAAAGGCGTTCAAAGCCGGTAATGGTCAGGTGCAAAAAGGAATGATCCTTAAAATGTTAAAATTCAGTGAAATGAATTCTAGTTTTCATTAATTCTGTAAATATGGATACAGCTCTATATATACAACAATAGGGTAGGCTAATAAGGCTATTTATAATTACATGGAGAGAATCTCGGTTTACGCTTAAGATTGAGGTAATTTTGATTTACACCTAAAATTTCTCATAATACTCCCCCTCAAGTTGGAGTATGGAGATCCGTAATGTCCAATTTGCGAACAAAATGATGAAATAGATCTTTCCCAAGGGTTTTGGTGAAAATATAAGCTTTTTGATTCTTTGTGGAGATATGTATTGGAATAACAAGTGAGAATCAGAACTTTTCACGTACATAATGACAATCAATTTCAATATGCTTTGTGAGCTCATAAATGACTGGATTGTTGCTAATATGAAGTGATGCTTGATTGTTGCAATAAAAGATCATGCGGTTGGTACACAGGGCGGTAAGATAAAAAAAAGTAGGGTCTTAAGCCAAACAAGTTCGCAAGTAGTGGGGGCAATAGCAAGATATTCGAGCTTGGCAAAAGAGCGAGAGACAACTATCTGTTTCTTCGTGTGCCAAAAAATGGGGCTTGTTCCAAGAGTGACGAAGAAACCAGTGGGAGAGCTGCGAGTAGTATGATAACTAGCCCAATTAGAATCAGAGTAAGTGAAAATTTGAAAATCATGTGGATGAAAAAAAAATACTGTAGGCTAAATAAGGCTATTTATAATTACAATGGAGAGAATATTGGTCTACACCTAAGATTGAGTTAATTTTGGTTTACACCTAGAATTTCCCATAATAGTTTCCTCAAAAATTCAGTCAACTATTACATCTCTTTCGTTTTCCGGTGGCATCGTATGTTAGCATATTAATTTTGTAACTGCAGATGAGTAATCAGAGGTAGTGAGCTGGGAGGACACCCAAAACTCGAGTCTTCCTAAGCACGGGGAGATGCTTCTTTCCTTGCATGGCTCGCTACTTAGTGTTTGTAAGGAAGACAAAATGGATGCAATGCAAGGTTTTTTTGTGCTCTAGTTACGACTTCTTTCCAGATAATTAGTTACATTTTACTATACTTATTTCGATCTTGCTGATAGCTTTAGTAAGTGAAGTGAAAAGAAAAATGTGTCCTTCGACTACGTTGAACTAGATTACACTTACAAGTATAACACCATGATCCATTAGGGAAACTATATTTGAATTTACATCAATGTGTTGTATTGCACTGTCGGAAGATGGTATGCCGTAGTCGAAGATGTTTTCGTCGATTTTTCTATGTATTTTCACCATTCTGTCGTGGTTGACTAGTAACTGAACAGTCCAGAATTAAATTCTAGTCATATGTTTCGAAAACTGCAGTCCCCTTCAAAATTTTCCTCCTCATACTAAGCATTGGGTGTAGATGGTAGCCCCCTTCAAATTTTCAATACATGTATTAACAATTCAGCTTCGGCTTGCTGCCCATTTTTTAGCTGTAGAAAAATAAATTTTGTGATCGTTGGAGCACCAACTTCAAGAATAATGTGAGATAGAAGTCAACAATTCCGGAAAAGTTGGGCACCGCAGGGTCGTATTTTTTCTAAAAATGGAGAGAAAATGGGAAACAAACACGAGCTCAACCGCCTAAGAAAATTACAGAAAATTAGAAAATTAAAATAAATTTCTTAACAAGCACGTAGATCTACAATCAATTTTTCAATAGATGAGCCCTCAATGTGAATTTTTGCAACAGTTGAATCTTCATGGCTGTTTACTCGACACTGAAATTGACAGAACGATCAATCTTGTATGCCTATTTTAAATTATGAATATGATAGGCGCAAAAATGATGGCCTCAGTACATACATAATTATACGCGGTAGGATGAATGACTCAATGTTAAGCACAGGAAGCATAATTATCTGCCAAATTTGGTCCATGAGCAAGCAGCAGTCTTGAAAAGCCTTTTCAGCCGCGCTTTATAAACAACTTGCAAGAATGGATATCCAAACGTTTACCCAACAGTATAAACCTTCACGAATTTGGATGTATCACACACAACTAGATTTTCTGAATCAGATGTAGTTGTGCAGAGCCAATTGACCTGATACAGTAAGAGGCAAAATCATACAAGGACTTGTTATGAAGAAAAAGGAACAAGTCCTTATAAGTGGAAACATGCGGTATTAAACTGTACTCAACAATGTATCTGACAAGATTTTAATTTTTTTTTTTCTAGCACCGTCTAATCCACACATTACCAATCATGCAAGTAGAGGAAAAGAAGTTGTAACTCACTTTTTTGCTCATGTTGATGTTTAAAGTTAGAAGATCATTGCCGCTACTAATCTGCCCAGCATCAACAGATTTGAACCAATCCCACACCTTCACCGACTTATCATTTCCGCCAGAGAGGATAAACTTTCCTTTCTCTCCAAACATCGAAAAAGCCCTAAATTAAAATATCACAAAATCAGCAAGTGATGACAGTAGCTTCACTCCACAATTAGATTTCTCTAATCAAAGCACACTATAGAAAAAGATTTCTCACACGCAGGATACTGCAGCAGTGTGTCCACCCATAGAGTAATCCAAATGCAGCTTTCGATTATTTTGATTTTGGCTTTGGGCATCAGAAGTTGAAGCACTGCCTTTAGAGGTTGATTTAGTACCTTTTTTTGATGAATTTCTGGACTTGAAAGCAGCCAGTTCTGATTCAGTATTTATCACAGTGACAACACCATCACCTCGAGCCACTACACAAATCTTGCCTAATTTATCCACCATATCCAGTTGCGGAACTACTAGAGCATGGATAAATGCCGGGTTCAATAACTGGCCAGTACTATCTCTACTGCCTGCATCAGGTAATCCTACATCCAAAAGAAAACGAAAAAAAGAATTATTCCACAAATCAAATTATTCAAGCAAACAACCAAGAACTTCATTTGTCTCACTAAAAATGAATAATCATGTAGTAAAATTTGTTATGGCATTTAAAGGACAGCTAATTTTACATAATAAAATAGTGTTATATAAAGTTTCCAAAAACTGTAATCGAGAATTAATATTTTGGAATTTTAGGTAGTGTTTCCAAAGTCCAACGCTACACATTTAAGCTTTACTTGGATTGTCAAGCTCAAGCTTGATTTTAAACTCTCTTACTAAATGAGCAAAGCTCATATAAAAAATATTTTTAAAAAAAAGATGTATGATACGTCTATTGGGTTTTAATCATCAAAAACGAAAAAATATTTTCTTTTCGAAAGTTAAGAAACTAAAATTTCATTTTATTAATAAAATCCTAAAGAAAAAATAATAGTGGAATTAAAATTTCAATTTCAATTAAAATTAAAATCCAAAAGCTCTGTTTAGCTTGGTAATTAAGAGTCAAGCTCAACCAAAGAATTGGTTTTCTAAAGCAAAACTTGAGCAGGCTTGATTCTCCTAAACTAGAACGTGCAATCTTCCTTTATCTTCTTTGCCTACAGAGACATTTACATGTCATATTTGATTTTTTTATATTGCTTCCATAACACAATTATATTTCAACTATTCACTTCCGTGATTTCAAAATATCGTCCTTCCCACAATTTGTAGTTAGGCAAAAAATATTTTAGCCTATTAATAGAACAGGACATCTGATTATCATTTCTATAATGTTAAAAGATCAATGAGAGTATGAGACCATATAATTGAAGCACTAATACCAAAGTCCAGAATTTTGTTTCGACATCCTTTGGAGAAGTCCCACATCACAAGCTTTGAATCAAGACCACCAGTGATGACTGCAAGAAAACATATACGCAATCAGATATTAATCATAGCAAATAACAAATGTTAACAGTAAACTAATGTAATTACTAAAAGCATGATTCCAAAGAAACCGTAAATGAAAGTAAAATTTTGAAAGATGGAAACTTTTTCAATGGTGCGCTAATGCATGTCTAAAATATATTGCTCATGGTACTGATAACACTGCACTCCGCAAAACCTCGTGGGTAGACATAGAAATCTGAAGTTATATCCTCCCAAGTGTTTTCATCATAATATACATCAGACATACTGAACAAACAAACTAAACGAAGTGCTTCAAACGTACTGAATTAAGTAAAAATTAATATTATGCTTCTTGTGGGGAGTGGGGGGTTATAAATGCAATAAGGCTTGTTCTAAGTACAAATATAGAGTAACTCTAGCATTGAGAGAAAAATATTATTAAGAAAATACCTTCCCAAGGTCTCCAATGAAGGAATTGAACACTGCTACAAATCTGATCAAAACAGTGAAGGCGATGAACAGTTTGAGAGCCAAATTAGTAACAAAAGTTCAGGCAAATAAATTAGCTATATATTTTGCGGTAATAAATGAATATAACCTTGACAGAACTAAAAGTCAACGGGTTTAGAATGGACTCGAGAGATGAGGAGCACTGGCAGCTAATACTTGAAAGTAAAAATTATTCCAAGAAAAATGGGCAAGCAAAAAACCACATCTGTCCTGGCAAACAAATTACAGCAAGTCCTATGCAGGAAAGGATACACTCTCATGGCCAGCTCTTAGTGTTTTGTAAAGGCAATGTTGATGCATGTCAAAGATCTGCAACAAAGACAACATTTACAGGTTGAGTATCACAGCATCATCTTTATCTACCCAAAATATATTCTTAGCAGTGCTTTTGCTGGTAAGGGGAACACTAAATTAGAGATCCAGAAACTTCAAGAAATGGTCAACATAATTAACCAGCAAATTCATTAATACGCATAGACATTAATTGAATACTTCCTTTGTTGTTGTTGTTGTTGTTTCTACTTCTATGATTTTTATCAGATCATGAATTCATGCCCCTGTTTAAGATTAATCCTAGA